GACAATATTTCGCTAGCAATAAGAAATTTATATTTAGAAAAATTTAAGAATGCCGATTGAATCGATCGAGGATCCTGCCATTAAAATCAAACCCAACGAGAAATTGATAGAATTCGTCTGCAAAAATGTGAAGAAAACTAATAACGCCCCGCCTGCTATAATGGCATTAAAGAAATTCTCGAAGGATAAGCAAAAAGAAATGCTATTGAAACTAGACGATATTAAATGGTTAAACAAGTACTTAGAAGAATACAGAGCTACCAGTACGCAAAATATTTATTTACACGAGCTGTTAAAGGAAGACGATATCAATCTACCGACTCCGAAAATTACTCCGAGAAATCCGGAATTGGAAGCCAGGACTCAAAAATTGAAAGCGCAACAAGACGCCCTCAGATACAGAGCTATGACCAAAAATGTAGATACTAACGTAATGAGGCTACCGGAAGATAGTATTTCTTATCAAAGTAAGATTCTTGACTTAAACTAAAATTTCTACTCAATGCGCGATATTTATTTTTCTATTGTTCTATGATACATTTATTTGTCTGTTTCAGTGAAACAGATAAATAGGCAGCTGATAGCTGTCGCCCAGTTCGTATTTTCCGTGCTGGCCGGATTCGCTTTCGGGTTTGTGGGCGTCGAATTAATAGTGGGACACTTGGACTTTGGATTTAGATTATTATTAGGCATCATTTGCGCGCTGATTATAGCTTTAGCTGAAATTTATTTCTTAGCAATTAAATTAAACGAAGACGTATACGATACAATTACAACCCCGTCTGCACCAACGTCGAAGAAATTGCATCAAGAGTGAAATCATTATGATAACGTGATAAAGTGTAACACAGTAAAATCGAATAATTTGTAATATAAATATAAACTGTCGAATTTATTTCAATCTTATGAATTTATTTCAACCTTATGAACGAGCCTGGACACTAACACCCAACAGGATCAGGTAAAAGAATATACATAAGAAAACCTTGTTCTCGATAACAGGAAGTCTATCGTGAATTCTGGGAGCGATTTATTGATAAGGAATTAACGTCTGCTAATTACGAAACGGTGAAGTTCGGAGTATAACATTTTCCTCTATCACTCATTTTTTTATTTTCCTATTCAGCATTCAGACTACAATTCTCAGAATAATCTAAATCATCTTGATTCATACAATACTAAACGAAAATCCGATGCATTTATTACATAACACACACGATTTAACTGAAAGTAATGCGAGGCTGAAGTCAATACAAAAATAAAAAATCCTGTACTTCATACAGGCTCATACAATCTATACACAAGGAATTAAAACTGTTCGACTGTCTAGAGTAATGTCCATGTCTGATGATTCCATACAAAAATAGAACTACGTTTGTAAAATTATTGTCCATCTTTAATTGGGAATATAAAATACTGATGAATCATAAATATTTGGAAAGATACCTATTAAATAATCAGAGAGCCTTGTAAACGTGAGTCAAAATCCATTCTTCTATCTCTTGGACTCGCCCTCACTGTCGCTCTTATCACTCGTGGAATCGTTTCTACCATTTTCATTTGTCTCACTCTCTTGCTCACTGTTAGACATGTTCGTATCATCCTCGGCTTCTGCCTTTTTGTCATCACTGTCAGAACAAGAATCTGTCTCTGATTCACTATCACTGTCTGAATCTGAACTCTCCGAACTGCTATTTGAACTCTTTGCAGCCATCATCTCTTTAAATTGCCTAACTGTTATCTTCCTGGGCATTATTTCCCTCAGAAATTCCAGAATATCATTATTCTGCACGACTTCTGCCAAATGCTTATAGTCCAACGAATTCCCTTTGTTACCTTGCAAATGTGCCTCTTCTGTTAAATAATGGATGAACAGTTCCTGCGAAATGATTTTTATGTCTTTTTAAGTCCAAACAAAGTATCCTAATCGAGTATCAAACGTACGAAGCCGGAATTTTTAACCGACCATCAATACGTGAGATATCGAAATTGCATGAATACCAAAGCCTCTCCAAATCTTACCGTGGCTTTTGTGACTAAATATAATCCATCCTGCCCGATCGTATCAACGTACGGAGAACTTTTCATAATCGTTTTCACCCTTGACATGGGTAACCTCAATTCCTTAATTTTAGTAGGCGACGGCGATTCTTGTTCGGACATATTTTATCGAAATTATTTATTGCCTTCGTATAATTGACTCTAATGCAAGGTATGAACCAAACGAAGTTAATAACAGCTGATAATTACAGTGAAACACATAAATAAACTGCAGCTAACGAAACGTAACACGCGCGTAGCATAAATGCATAATAATAACTGCAACTGCGCCGGGCAATCGAGCCGGGAGAGTGGGGGATACGCTTGAAATTTTCAATTTCGGGAAAATTAAAAATCAATTTCTGCTCTTTAATTATTTCCAGAAAATATCTTATAGCATTAGAATCGAGAAATAATATAAATCGTGGTTGGAATACTCAGATTCTTCGTTTCTTTAATTTTCACGCTGTAAGAGCAATAGAGGAAGACTGACATTCTCCTTCTTTCTTTATTACACGAAGTTCTGAATCCAGAGGACCTTGAATTTATGAGTGTTTATGAGATTACGAACCGAGTCGTTAGGTTATTGAGGTTCGTTCATTTATTATTTGTGAAATGTGGCCAGAAGAATATATAGAATTAAAGGTATAGTGGTTTAACTTAATTTCTACAGGCAACTAAATTGTACAAAAATCGATCATTTCTATCCTATTATTATAGCACATCCAAGATTTGTTGTTATGTGGAATTTGTTACGATTTTATGGACACCCCAGTTATAACATCTTGTTCTCACAGTTGTAAGTTGTAAGTTTTAAGTTCGAATTAGTGTTCAATATATTCCACTTTCATTTATTGTATGATCTACGAACTTACGGTTTCAGACTGTTCACTATGCATTAGAAAATATTTGCATTATAAAACTCAATGTCCAGCATGTTTCTCAGAAACATTCGAAAAGGATTTGAGGAAAAACAAAGTCCTAGATGAGATAATCAAATATTTTCAATTAATTAAAGACAAATTGAAGAGGACATTGGAAATTTATATACAGTTCTCGAACAATAACCAGAACGGAGATAAATCAAGTGAAAACAGATTTTCTGATGAATACAATAATGCAACTGATATACAGAATGTTATTTCATACACAAGCAGTAACAATAAATTACAGAATTCGATTTTTGATCATGTATACAATACCCCAACGAAAAAGAATGGTGTTCCAGCCTCGAAAAGTTTTTCAACGAGTGACATAGCGATGAAAACTGTTGTCTCACCGTCCACCAGCTATTTGCTGGTTAAACAAACGTCTAGTCCGAGTCCTAGCACCAGTAGCAAAACTAGGATACCTTTAATGTTCACACCAAAAAGTAAAAAAAGAATCGTACCAACGAATGCGATGGAAGATGTCAAAACTGTTGTGTGCCCAGTTTGCAAAGTAGTAATTTCGGAAATGCATATAAATAAGCATTTGGATGATTGTTTAAAAAGGGAGACGACGAAGGAGAGGCGACCACCGATGTAAGAAAGGAATAATATAATTAATTAAACTGATATATAAAAGTGTATATCCTTGAATCTGAATTTTTAGCATATCAACTCGAAAACCATTGCCGAAGTTAGTTTTCAGTTTAATGAAGGATGCGGTGATTAAGAAGAAATTGAAGGAATTCGGATTGTCTGTTCAAGGAGATAGAAAAGCGATGGAGAATAGATTGCAAAGATATACTATTTTATATAACGCCGAGTGCGATAAATCTATGCCTAGGTCTGCTGCAGAATTAGTTAAGCAATGCGAGGAAGAGGAGAACGTGGAAAAGAAGATTAATAAAACCTCGATTCTTAATGTGAATATCAAGATACGTCAGTTCATACTAATTTATAATAATTTTTATATTGATTGCTTCCAATTACTGTTTCAGAAGTTACAAGTTACTAGAAATACGGAAGAAAATGTTATCGAAGCAGAGAGGAAGAAATATCGTAAGTACTCTGTAATACTATTAATCATTACTATTAATAAATTTAATACATTGATTCTTCTTTATTTCAGTGAACGCGAACAAGGGGAGCTTTGAAAATCTGATTAGGAACATGAAAAGAACCAAAGCCGTGGATTCTTCTCCGAAAAAAGCATCGATCAATCATAATTTATTAGAAAACGAAAAAGAAAATACTTGTGATAATGTTCGGCCACACTCGTTCGAGCATAAGAAACTGATAAAGGAAACAATAGTTGAAGCTGAGATAAATGAGTCTATAAATGAAAGTTCTGATGAAAGTTATATAGTACCTTCTACTCCAACCGGCAGTGGCTACGACAAGGTAAATTGCTACTTCACGATCCAGGATTCTGATTCTGAAACTTCTTTAAAAGTAGATAACGCTGAAAAGAATGATTCTAAAAAGATGGATTCGGATGAAGATAATAACGTAAGTTCGGAGAAAGGAAATGTGAATGGAAACATAAATTCTTCGTGCCTTGGAAAGGAGAGCGAGAATAATTTGGAAACCTCGTACAGTTTGGTCAATTTTGAAAATTTTGCCAAGCAGAATTTAGAAAATGTAGAGGATGAAACTGTGGAGAAACTGGACGAAATGTCAGACAATTCATCCTGTTGTAATAGCAGAAGTAATCGTTCGTTTAGAAAGAGGAGTAGAGAACCAAGTTCGCAATTATCGAACTCTGTAAATAAGAAGGTCAAGAACTCCACTAATGATTTTACTGTAAATGAAGACGAAGAGAAAGATGAGGAGTCGAGTTTCTTAGATAGTTTATTAGAAGAAGAGAAAGACTCTATTTTCTTAAAGAGCTTGTTGGAAGGCGTAAGTGAGGAAACAGTTCCGGAAAATAAATCGAGATCGAGAAAAAGATTACCAAGGAATCAATCGACTAAAAGTAATGATAGTAATCTTACTACAAGAAGAACTTCCAGGAGGAATCCAAAAAAATGAAATTTCCAAAAAGAAGGACAATCTAATTGTACTTTGATCTCAAACTTCTTTTTTCTCGAATGAAATTCTATGTTAATTTATAATCTTTCTACTGTACTGACGATTAATATCAATATATTAGATCACAATTATTATATTTTACTGTGGATCAATAATTTAGTTTCAATAAAACAAATTTAAGACGAACAGAAAACTGAGCCGAGCATTGTAATATATCTTCATAATACATATATATATTTTGTAATATAACTTTGGTATTTATTTTTACAGTATATATATAGTTTCTTCCATGTAATATAATTATATATTAACATTAAAAGCGTTTTGTCTAACAGTATCTATCAGCTTAACAGTCATCACATGTATTTTCAACTTCTAATTATTTAAACGTTGCTTGATTCATTTGTTAATTAATTATACTTATTTAAGATTGAGTTTTAATACAATAAATATAAGAACAATGTATATATATATTCATTTATTTAGGAATGAGAAGTGTTCTTTCTATATACTTCATTAAATTGTTATTTCACGATTTTAATAAATAGACTTCTATTATTTAATCTGATATATTGATAGATTTAATTGATTCTCGTTTAAATTCCAGAAAATATAATTTAAATTTAAGAATATATTTTCTTTTAAGTATTTTATTCATATTGAAAATACATTAAATTTCTGATATTATATATTTATTTATTACGATCTTTTTATATATCATCTTTAATTATTATTTGGAACTATTTTTCTCTTGCCTCAAATATAGTTTTGAAATTATTTAAGTATATATTTATTTACTTAATGATGATATTATTAATAAATTAGACCACCACAGCTCGTTTAAGGCTTCCATTTTCTGCTATTATCAATAAATAAATTTCACGTATGTACGTATTTACAATATACACAACTGCAATTATATATATAAAAGATTCATTTAATCGTTCATCAGAACTTCAATAAATATTGCACTTGATTATCTACCAGTAAATAAATATGTACATATATAATGATAGGCGGATGTAGTCTCCTTAAATAGGCAAAAATAGCTTTCTAATCAAGTAATAGTATTTATATACATTCGTAAATTATTGTAATCGAGAGAACTTTATTTCTAATTAGGCAGAAATAATGACAGTATATATGTACATAATTACTCTTTAACTTCATAATTAGAATTCTTCCGTAATTAGGCAAACATCGTTTCTTAATTAGTCTTGTCTTTCTTTCTAATATATTTCCTTTCTTTTAATTTGAGATTTATCGTGATTTTTATATATACGCGTAAGTACGTCAATATGTCTTGTCTGTTTTTAATTGCTCTTTAACTGATTGTATAATTTTCTGTTGTTTTTAAATAGTGACTAGTCTCTTATTGTTTATATATCTAAGGTAAAATACTATTTTAACTAACTTGTCTCCCTTCTATTGCGCCGCATAACTGTTATTCCGATAGATCCTCTAATTTTCCTTAACAAATCAATTATGTCTGCCGTTGACATGTCCTCCACGGTCTCGTCGTTCACCTAAAATTTTAAAGAACAGTATTATACAATCTTCAAACAGTTTAACACAATAATTCTACCATCATTAGGACGTCGCCCTGTTTTAATCTTCCGTCTTTAGAAGCCACGCTGTCAGGGTGGACCACGGATATAACTGTGCGATTTCCTTCAGACTGGAGGCTGAAACCTAGACGGCTGTTCCAGCCCCTTGTTAGTTCCACCATGAACACCTATAATTCAAATGAATAATTCAAATATCATATTTCCTATATAATAAGCATATTTCTGTTTATGTACAACAACTCTTGCCTTAGTTCCCTGTTCAAGGTTCTCGTCGGTCTTGATCTTAGCTGAATCCGTGGTATCCACTTCCTGTTTCTTCTCTTCATTCCCCTTCTCTTCTTTCTTATTCCCTTCATCATCGGGAGCGAACATTACACCTTTCCATTTCAACAGTCCCTTGCTACCGCCCGGATCTTCAGTCCCCAAGACTTTTCCTGTAAACCAATTAAAAAATTTGTAGAAATTGCTAACTCCTTTTCATGACCTGCTTCCTTCGATCTCATGAAAATAAATTAGTATGCACCTGGTATATCCTGATCGCTGCAATGTTTGCCCTTTCCCTCTGCGGCGTTACTTCCAGTGCTGCCTCCGACAGCTGGATTAGCGCTTTGATAAGCCGGATTCTTGTAACTGAATCCAACTCCGTTAGCGGAATTCAATAACGGCGGCATGGAGGCTGGCTCCGAGGGAAATTCGCTGCTTTCTTCTTCTTTAATAAATTCTTTCGGTTCGATCACCTTAAACTCTTTCTTCGTAACTTTATTATAAGTAACATTGGATTCGTCTTCTTCTACACATTCACTTTCTTCACTCTCCTCTTCTAAGTACTTAGTTCCTTCATTTTCATCTTCGACATTCTCAGCCTCTTCATTTTTTTCGATTTCAGTAGTAGCATTCTCTTTAGTCTGTTTCTTCTTATTAGCATCGCTAGTGGATAAGAATTGGTAGTTCGGTTTGTCTTGTGGAGCGCTCAGGTTCAAGAAGCTGGGTCTCTTCTTTGGAATTGGAGTTTTCAAGGAATCGGAAGAATCGGAAACGTGGTAGAGGAGTGGAGGATCTATTATATCAGTTCCAGGTGTAGTCGCTTGAGAGTTCACGGTAACCTGAGTTCTTATCGAACACTGATCGAAGTCAGAAGACGATTGATTCGACGTTGAGGCTGTTTTCAGACTCACTCGCTGCTCCAAGGAATCTGTAAAGACGATAGCTAAGTTAAATATGATTTAGACTTCATACGCTCAAGGCAATTAGACAGAGAACCAATCTACCTGGCTCGCTGTCCGGAGTTTTAGTGGTCAGGCGACGAACTTTTCTTGGCGAATTACTGGATGTCGTAGCTGCCTGTTTGCAACTCGAGCCTGTCGAAGCTCCAGGAGACAGTTTCCTAACTGCTAAGTCGCACAACATGTCCACAGCCTCTTGTCTGTGAATTGAATAAAACAAAATCGAAATCGAATCGACTTCAGATTTAATTCTCAGAATTTCTTAACTTAATTTTCGGATCTCACCTCAGACACGTTTTGGAAGGGTAATCCTCGGTAGGACTTAACGCAGCTACGGGCGTCTGGCCCATGTCTCTGTACAATCTCAATTTAACTGTGGGCCCACACTGTCTGAGCAGCCGAACTGCTTCCGCGTGACTCATCGGGGATAATGGAGCCCCATCGACGGCTACTATCTTGTCTCCTGGCTTTATTCTCCCGTCGCTTAAAGCTGGCTCTCGTACCAATGCCCTGACGTAATGACCCAACGCGCTGCTATCAGTTTTCCGAAGAGTGAACCCGAGACTCCCGCCTACTTTAGTCATCTCTATGTCGAATTCTCCGCAGGGTTCGATTTGAAGTGGTGGCAGAGGATTCAGCGGTAAATTCTCTCGTCTGGGCGGCGGTGGAGGTGCCACAGGAGGCGGAACGTTGCCATTTTCTCCCGGAAGTCGACACACCACCAATTCGACGGTGCTAGGCGTCGTCCTTAATACTTCCAGAGCCTCGTAGTTAGTCAGGCCAGTTAACGGAATTCCATTGGCAGCTAGCAGGATATCGCCAGGTTGTAATTTATTGCTCAAAGCAGCTGGTTGTTGTGGAAACAATCTCTTCACCCTGACTGGGCCGGCAGTCCCACCGCCAGAAACGCTCAAACCCAATCCTCTGCTACTCTTCTGTAAAGTGACTCTGAACGTGCTCTCCGGAGTGATGTTAGGGAAGCCTTCTCCAGGCAGAGACGGCAGATGCTCCTCTTCCGGTGATTTCTCAGAAGCATATCCTTGATCTTGAGTTTCTTTACTAATTAATTTATTTATCCTCAAATCCAATGATTTATTCACCATCAACTTACCCTTACTACTATTACTTAATTGCTGCCTGTGCTTGACTAATTCACAGTCTGGTTTGTGACCTATTTTCATCAACAAATCGCTATCTTGAATCGATAAATTTTCATCTTCCTTCGGCAATTCCTTCTCCTCGCTCTTCTCCTCGTTCTTCCTCTTCGGGATCGTTCCGACCAGATCGAAATCCAAATTCATGTCGAAAGTCTTCGGGGTTCTTTCTAAAGTCGAGCTTCTCTGATATTTAAGCGAGTTCGAAGTCTCCGAGAAGTTTCGAGGTGGGCTCTTGTATTTTTTGAACGAATCCGTGGTCGAAACTGAGTCCACGTTCGGAGTCTTCCTCCTGTTGGAGGTAGAGCTGGCTCGGCGCGGTTTCAAGAGGTCCAAGTCGCTCTGATGATACCTCCAGGGATCGTTCTCGTCCAAATCGTCCTGTGACCTGTGTTGAACGAGATCCAACGATCCGTGATCCATGAAATGAACACCGACCGACCGTTTCTTATTCGGTAGAGTGCCACCGAGGTTCCCGCTCAGCGTGTCGGTCATTATATTATTATTCTCCTTCAGATTATCATCCTCGATGTTGATCTTATCGTCCAAATGATTCGGAAGCGAGCCACAAAGCTTGTACCTCTCCCTTTGCCCGCTGGAACAAGGAACCAGCATCTTCCCCATACTGTTCAGTTTCCCTTTCGAGTCGCACAAGTTCCCGGAGGACTGCGTCCTACGACCATTCAGGCCTTTCGAGTTATGTCGACTGAGGTTGGAGCCCATTCTGGGCCTTTCTTCCTCAACTGCACTTTGATTTATGGCATCTTGAGGTCTCTCCTTAATCTCTTCTTCTTTCTTTCTCTCTTTCTCATTTATTTTAAAAGATAACGAGTCTAGTTGGAATTCTTTACTCTTGGAGAATTGCTTTCTAACACTTTTTCCTTCGTTCTTCGGTGTTTGCGGTGAATTCGATCTCTCTTCAACTATAACAAGTCGAAATACTTAATGGAAATTAAGATACAGGAATTACGGAAGGAATGAGGAATAAAGGAAGATCGGTTATACATAAAATATGAATACAATGGCAAGATAAAACATGATACACAAATTACTATATCGCATAATAAACTAAATAACTGTACGAGCCAAGCTACATCTTAATACAAGATTTATCTATTTTTTTCTAAACACATCATAGATTTTCCCTGAAGATTTCGAATTGAGATCTACTGGGAAGTACATGGTTTAACGTATATATAAATAGGTAATAGGGTTTCACGCAGGAATGAAGCTAATTCTCTCTTAAACCTAGTAAACACTGTTTCCACTCTAATTGACAGTTACTTCTCATTCATTGTATGTAAAAATCGAAAGAAGAGGATTCTCCTCCAACTATATACATATATATACATATATATATAGATAAAAGTATAAATATAGCAGAGTCACCAAACCAGTTCTCTTAAAATAAACCGAAGAATCGCATTCTTCAGATATTTATCACTTAAACCAGCGATTCGATAAAAAAAGAAGAGGCGCATCTCGTAATAATGATTATATCAATTCATTTTATATAATGCACGCAGGACGTCAAGGTCAGATCGTTTTTAATTTCAGCTACTGCGGTTTTACGGCGAAACTCGATCGCAGTGTAAACATGTAAGTCTTAGTTGATTTATCCTCGTTCGTTGTTTGATACAAAAATAAATACGATAATAAAAGATCATCAGATAACTTAATGAAGAAATTCTTGGCGATTGATAAAATCCAAGAGAACGATGAACTCTTGGTTGCCAGGTAACAAGAATAGGAAAACAAGTGTTTTATCGATTATTCGAACCACTATATCGGGAATTAGGCCCTTAAATGAACAGCATTTTTCTATTGATCAAACATTGATCAATACGCGCATATATACATATGTACAGAGACGTACGCGTTATATTACTGCGTTTCTTCACGATTATTCCACTGAATCTTTGAACATTTTACCGCTTGGTGGCTTATTAATTTCGAATATCGATATTGAAATCCCTAATCGATACGAGGATAACGATCAATATTTGAATCACTTTGTGACTGTATATATGTGCGTGCAGTGCGTTTAAATTGGGAATTAGTTCCGCAGAAGGTGATGCTCGAACGAATCGTTAATTGTCAGCAAATTAAAGAGTAAGTGTGATAATCGATAATGGAGGACACGTACTTAATGCGGTTTGGAGTCGTCTGTCATCACTATGCGACACTGCTCTCTTTAATCAAGAACATAACCTCTGGACGCGTAACACTCTCACGGTTAAAAACTGCGTAAACAATGGGTATTTGTTATACACTTGTCCACGCACTGGCGTTTAATCCGCGCGTTCTGTTCGTCGGAGGACGTATGTGTAATATGTATATCTACTGAAATAGAGCACGGGAGGTCAGTAGGTCGAGTCAAGAGTAAAACGCGTTCCGCGCATAGTATTATAACATTAAGACCGTGAAGGTGCGCGAAGTTAGGCGCGACAGGTGTGACGTAAGCAGGTTTATGCAGGTACCCTAACGAAGAACACTTCTTTGATATATAACAAACGTAACACTCCGTGGTTCTCGAGAGACTGACGCTCCGGCGTTTTACCGAGCGGATCCCCACTACTTGTCGGCTACCCCACCGACGTGATCCATATTACCGTCCTCGCCGTTGTCCAGATTTTCTTTCAACAAAAAAACAAGGTGAGTATAAACAATCTTTGCCTACCTTTGATTCCCCGTTCTCTCTTTTTCCTTCTCAATCGCCTCTTTTTCATTTCTTCGTCGAAGTCGAACGAGGAGGAGGAGTCTTCTCGTTGCTTCTCTTTGTCGAGGATCTTCTCTTCCTTCTTCTTTTTTAATAACTCGTATACTCGTTTGAAATAATCTTTGGCTATATCCTCGTTCGATTTATTCATCAACACGTTGTTGCATTCTAGGTTTTTACTATCCTCTTCGAGCTCTTCGATGTTCTCACTGCCATCGATTATTCTAAATGTATTGCTCCTCTTCACTGTCGACTTTCTTAAATTATTATTATTATTATTGAATTCTTTAGAATCGTTTGGAATTCTGTTTACGTTGAACGTATTTCTGTTATCTTCGAAATGCCTGGTCTGTTCATTGTTCCTTTTTGTGTATTCCGAAGCTTGTTTACTCGTTCCATCTTCGATTTTCCTTATATCTTCCAACTCCCCAGAGAATCTCTTCTTTATCCTCTTCTTCCTCCTTCCTTTATCAGTTTCCCTCACTATAATCTCGCTCTTCGATTTCAGAGGTTTGTATCCACAGCTTCCAAATGCTGTAGTTCCAAATTTTGTACTGAAACCATCAACGTTCCTGTTTCCCTGAAGTCTGCTCCTGTAGGGACTTCGAATATCATTTGGATTCCTTGAAAAATGTTCAGTAGAAGCGGAAGAAGTAGTCCCATTACTACTTTTTTCATTGGAAAGCTCTTCATTCTTCGAATCTCCGAAAGTTGGAGAAAAAGAAAAGGACGAAGAGGCTTTACTAGTTTTATTATTCTCGACTGTAGAGACAGATTCTCGAGACACAAACTTCGAGTCCCCAGGATAGGAGAACGAAGAGGAGGTCTTAATTCGAGACCTGCTCCTTGAACGAGATTTATTTTCTAAAGGGAATCCTTCGTACTGCGTTAAACCTTTGAGGAACGAGCCTCTAGCCCTTTGGGCTGTGTTCTCCGAAGTTTCCACCATTACTTTACCATTTTTGTTTAATAATTGTATTATTGGAAGTGAGCTCGAGGAGGACGTCGTTAACTCCCAATCCCAATGCAGAGGTTTGTCCAATTTCAGTCTGATAATTGGTGGTTCAAAATCATTGAACGACGAAGATTTCGAATCGTCTAGCGACGATTTATGAGAGTTCGACCTTGTACAGGTCGCCGTTACTATAGAGTTCAAGTTCTTCATGATTATTCTTATGAACAGTCCACTTTGATACAATTTTTCACATTAAATTCATATTAAACGAAAATACTTGCTATTTCGAGGAACTACATCAGCAGTCGTATTTTTTTCTTGAAACTTGGTAAAAAATCAAGAATGGATTCACTGCCAAATTCGCTGTCAAGTCACTGTCAGTTCCGCTAATGTCGAACATATTTAAAAACCCACTTTATTCTATTCCTTTCTGTTGATCACTCGTTCGATTGTTAAAAAGTTTATCGCAGCGTGAAACTCGATTTGTTAAATGAATTATTCGACTTTTCGTTCGTTGAATTGCTCGAGTTGCTCGTACGAGAAGCGAAATTCTACTGAAAGCTTCCTCAGAATATTCCTCGGTGTGTAAACCCACGGTTTCGTCATTTCAGTCCAGAAATAGATCTCGTTGGATCCAAGAGTGATCCAAGAATGTTAACATAATTGTGTCACAAGTAAAGGAATGTAATAAAATTAATGTACTACGTCGCTAGAATTTTGTTTTACTCGTACTTGCAATTAATTAAAAGGGACAATGAGTCGTGGATGAGATGTTACTAGCACTATAATCGTTATACGCTGTTTTATTTATTTCTTTATTTATTTAACATAGCTACCTATTCATATTACAATAACAATCATTACGACAGAGTCTATTGGAGAACATAAATTTATATACATGCGTATACTATATGTATATAACAAATCTATATAAATTACAAATTAAAACGTACAATAGATATGAAAGAAACGACGACGACGATTCGTTATAATTTAATTGAAATTATAGTATTAACTTTCAACTATAATTTTCATATGTATATATACACACAATTAACTATACAGTACACAATGATCAACTAATGCGTAGCGGAAATTTTTCAATTGTAACAATTAGTTATGCGATATAGATTTTTACTATATGGTACAGTAGAATACGAGGCATGGGGTTTCTGGTTTCGCTTTAAGTAAACAGTTATTGATACCTGAATAGTACTCTTCGTTTAGTATTGTTGTGCTCTGTATCTATAAAAAGGCAATTGATTTCACTCTTAATTAATTACACACGGCACTTCTAACTAATATAGATTTTGATTTCTACCAACCTGAAGGGTAGTGGTTTCTTTCTGCTCCGTTCGATCCTCTTTAACATTCGAGGATTCCTCAGTCGTTCTGTCCTTTCTTTTCAAATCGATTTTCATCCCTAGGCAGCTGGTCTTCAACGTTGGCTTAACCGGAGCCTTCTTCTTCTTCTTGTTCTTCGGTATATTATTAGATTTCCCTTTATTCTTCCCATCACCTTCGTCTACATTTTTGTTAGGACTTTTAGCACCAATAATAGTAAATCCGTTCTCGAATTTCACGGATTTCTTCTTTTTAATCTGTGTATTTGCCTGATGGTCTTCTCTAAAGTTATCAGTAATTATATCACTATCGTTATCAATTCCAATCTTGTGGTCCACGATCTCGCACGTCCTCGATTCGATTAATTGATCAAATTCGTTTGTCACTACTATTTGCGTGTTAATCTGACAATTGACATCGTCGTTCAACGATTTCGCTTGAACTATCGTTTCACTATTATTGGTTTCCTCGTCGTTAACATTGGTCTCGCCCTTCTTAATACTAATATAGGCCATTCCACTATTAAGGTCCGCGTTACTATTATCATCGATACTAAATTTATTTCTGTTTATCATAAAATCAATCGACCCCTCGCTATAATGATTATATTCCTTTAATGATTTCAACGATCTCGGTGGTTCGTTCTTCACAGTCTCTTTCAATTCCAAACTCCTACGTATACTAAATACTGATTGATGCCCTGGGACTACTTTATCTACTCTAGTATTACTGTTTATACTGTTTCTAACCGTAGAGTCATTGTTAATCGTCGTCTCTCGTCGTATCTCGTAATAGTTTACGAATTTCCTAACTTTACCGGGTGTCACTACGGCTTGGTCCTTATTTAGAATTCCTATGGGTGTCGCGGTCCCGTTATTGTCATAATTACAATCGCCATTACAATCGTGGGACCCAGAGCTCGTTAATTTACTAATTATGGCACTATCGTTCTCCTCTCTATTGTTATTACTATTATCATTATTATCGGCTTTATTAATTCCCGTGCTAATTAACTTTAAATCTTGATTAGGTAAGTCGTTTGGCAAATCATTAGGCGACTTGTTACACGAATTACTAGGCAAATTATTCATTAAATCGCCTTTTATTATGTCAGTCTTTTCACTATATAGTATAGTTTTCTTCTCAGTGTTTTTATCATTTAACACAGCATTTTCAGTATCGTTACTGACTATAGCATTCTCAATATTTTTTAGTCCATCGTCAGTGTTTAACGCAATCTCTTGATCGTTTTCAATATTTCTACCTTCTTCACTGTTTAATACAGTCTCCTTCTGATTATCTACTTTATTTTCTTCGATAATTATAATTTTCCCTGTTTTTACTCCTTTTTTGCATTCTCTATCCTGGCTCACTGGCTTCAACTTGATTTTATCGAAGTTTGACAGTAACTCGTTTAAGACGTTGCATTTCACTTCACCAGTCGATTTTTCATTTACCTGAACGGTTCTCCTCGATGGCGTAGCCTTCCTAGAAAGCTCCTCTGTCGTTGATTTAAAACCGTTCATAATTTTAGACTCCTGGAGTTTCTTTTCGTCTACCTCATCTGAAATTAATTTCGTACACAGTTCTAGCGATTTTGTGTCATCGGTGACCACTTCACAGCTTCTCCATATGTCGGAACTGTCCGATAACATGTTCTCCAGGAAAGAGTTTCTTCTGATGTTAACTGGAATGCTAATACTTTCCCGTTTTCTGTTTTCAAAACACTCCTCGGTTGATGTCGGAGTGCTTTCAATCTTTTCTTCTAGCTCGCATTTAGTAACTCGATTTCGAAAGGAATCACTTTCTAGGAACTTCCTTTTATGTTCTCGATTACAATTTTTATTAACGCTTTTCTCTTTTGTTGTTATTAACTCTTCATTCTGAATTGTTCCTCCGATCGCTGAATTTTCATTAATATTTGCTGTATTTTCTTCAACAATATCAATTTTATTCTCAATCGATTCAAATTCCGTTTTATTATTATTATTCTTGGGTTCTGTACTCGATTCTTTATCTTCTTCGAGTTTGTCTAACGATTGTTCCACTGTTTGTTTGATCTTCTCATCGAAACTCTTGCTTACGTCTTCAAGTATGAACGATTCTCTATTACTGCCTTCCTGACAGTCTTCAGAATCATTTTCAACATTTTCCATCGATTTGTTATCGATATTTTCATTAGAACTACAATTAGTATGATCTTCTTTAATATCCTCGATTTCTTTTTCATGTGACAAGCTCTTCTGTACTAAATCTTCAGTATTTGTTAGAATATCAATATTTTTATTAAATCCTCCGTCAAAAACTTTATCTAAGTCCGTATCGTCGGTGATCTCAGTCAATATCACTGAATTAATTCTATAACTCCAATCTATTTCTTCATTGACTAAAGCTTGCATATCATCTGAATCATCAACAACAGTTTCCATGTCTTTATCTGTCGTGATATCTGTTAATATTGAAGGTTCGTGATTAAACACTTGCTCTTCGTCTTCTATGGGTTCTATATTCTGTAAACTATCGTTCGAAGCTTCACCATCATTATTCATGTACGAATTAGTGTCGTACAAATCGTTATTATCTAAGCTGTAGTCGATGGTCGAGGAACTAGGAGATTCTATTATGAACCTGACTTTGGTGAATCGTGACACGGGAGAGGGTTCCTCGGATTCTTGAAAATTCTCATTAAAACTGTCGTAATTCATAGGACCCGCGGATCGCCTAATATTAACTCTGTTACTCCTGTCCATATAATTTTCAAAGATGAAGTGATTTGCTTCTTCGTAACTTTCCCTGAACCTGTCCAAACATTTTCCGAACGGGAGATTCGTGGTGGTGACGCGAAAACAAAGATCGTTCTCTTCGTCTTCTAACGAATTTGCGAATGATTGTTCGAAAAATTGACTGAACGACTCTTCCAACGATTTTCCGATTGATTCTTGCACGAATCCAGTGTTCTCTGTATTTTTGTACGAGTCTTCTTGGAACGAATCATCTATCGATGATTTTAGACTCTCGGAAGATTCTTCTTCTTTGAAGGATTCCTGGTTTGAAGAATCTTGAAGAGATCGATCGTCGAACGATTCTTCTTTTAAGGATTCTTCAATAGATTTATAAGCACTGATGTCTGAAAATTGCCCTGAATTCTCTTCAGGATCATCCAAATCATTCAACTTCTCTGATGATTCTTGATAAGAAGTTGCTGAACAATCTAAAAATAGCTCGTTGCAGTTTTCTTGAATAGAATTTTTATCTTCCTCTTCTGATTCTTTAGGATCTTCCTGACACTGTTCAACACTGGGTTCGGATACAATTACATTTTGAAAATCGTTCAGAGTGAAAAATAATGGTGGATACTTGTTACTGTCTTTCTTCAGCAACGTCTCAAACACGAAGAGAGGCTTGTCCATCGAATTCATAGTAGAATTAGTATTCAAATTCTCGCTTTCCTTAGATTCACAAACTTCGCTGACTTTCGAACTCTCGATCATCTCTTCTTTGTCTTTCGTCTCTTTCTTCTTCCGTTCAGTTTTCACGACGTTGGACTTCAGTCTTCGAGGCGGTGGCGGTGGAGGAGCCATGCGTTTCGCTTTGAAACGTATCGACGTTTCCTCAGGCGAATTTATGATAATCGTAGGCATTTTCGATCTCAATTTCTTCTTCCTTCGAGGAGGAACCGGCGGCATGTCTGCAACAACGTTCATATGCTGCATGATTCGAATGTGCAATTCTATCTATTCTACACACACTCGTTTTTATCTATTTATTTATCTAACTCTTAATTCTCCGATTCATTTTTATACTCGATTCGTTTATGTTACATTTTCGAATTCTAAAATGGCAATCACTATTTCACTGAATTAACTATATTAACTTGTAACAATTAGCGTGTTTCAAAGAACGGATGCGTTCCGTCTGACCGTCGTGGACGTTAGACCTGTCGAAGAATACTAATCGGTAAAGGTGATTCCCTATAAATGACAGAAGGCAACCCTCGGTTTATCTTCTCTTTCTCTCTAATAGTCAATAATAGGCAGTGATTCACTGACATTAACTAATACCGACAAGCTCTAATTTAATTTTACGATAAGAAGCCCCATCATTTCGCATAATAGTTTCCGAGACGGTAATATTTAGTATAATTATACATTAATTAAGTACATTGGATTATTTGCTAATCTGAATGTACATAATAATGGACTTACAGTTTCTTTTTAAATGAACACCTGCCTGCTGGTTCTACTGACTTCGAAATCTTCTATGCTCAACATCATGCTAGCAGATTTCAATTCATCATTGCTCGCGTAGTGATTAGCGCTTTCATAGTTATTAGGATGATTGTTATAGTAATTGTAATGATCCATAGAACTGGAGGCTGCGCTACTGTAAGCGCTCGAAGTATTTTGCACTGAAGAACAATCGATTGTTCTTTGGAATTTATTTATTGCACTCATATTCCTCATTTCGTCACTGGAAATATTTATATTAATGAATTTAAATATATAATTGTATATCAATATATTTTTATTGAATTGTCATGCTTACTTTAAATAATTAGTATCTACGTTTTGATTATTCTGTTTACTCTTTCGAATCTCTTGAGAGAGTACTAATACTATAGTTTCAGACGAGTTCTGTAGCAACTTTAAAGCATCCTCGTATCTTAAATGCAGTAGACTCTGTCCATTTATAGCAACTATACGATCACCTATAATGAGTCAATTTTAATGAGATTCACTATCTCTTTTTAATATTTTTATTATACCTTTATTAATATTGCCAGCCATGTCTGCAGACCCTCCGACTGAAATCGCTTGGACGTAGACTCCACCGTCGTTTCCTTCAGTCACCTGTAAACCAATACTACCTCCATCGCCTCTCTTCAATCTGATCGTTTCCAAATTTCTCTCTTCAGCAAAAGAGAGTTCTTCGAGTCGAGCTGCTAGCGACGTAGACATCGATTCATCGTTCGGCACGTGAAATGTTTCATCGTTCGTTGGAATATCAGCATCTAAGAAATATATTTATTTATTTATTACATAGCTTATGTATTTAAATTATAAAATACTAACTTAATACGTAAGCTTCAGGCATTGGCGACTCTTCTGTCGATCTTGCTAATGATAAAGAGTTAATAGATGAATCTGTATCAGATTTCACTGATAGTGTCTCTGTATCTTTATACAACATGCTACTATAAATCGCTCTGGTACCCATTTTCACTCCCAAACGTCTGGGCAAGCTCGGAGTTCGATTGCTATTAACTCCTTTTGAGTGTTTCGAAGTATAATTCGGCAAACTCGAAGTCTTCATCTAGAAATTAGCAAATTACCAATAAAATATTCCCACTAATTGCATTACGTCTCGTTACCTTATGTACAGATTTCTTTATATCCGAGACATCCCATATTTCCTCAGGAACTGGAAAATCGTTTTTTCCAACTTTGTTAATCGCCGCGTACAGTTCTTCAGGGTTGTTTAATGTTTTCGAATTATTCCCTTCTTTCGTTACAACGATTTTCGGTATGGAATAAACGCCGTCTCTTTCCATCTCCTCGTCTCTTTTTAATTCCGGCTCTGAATTCAATTGTGGGTAGCTGTAGAATTTCTCATCATTGGTTACAACGATTTTAGGAATCCTAGCAATCGAATAATCGCTTTCCATTTCGATTTCTTTCTCCCTCTGCCTTTTTATTTCCAGCTCTATTTCCCTGTCCGTCTCGATTCTAGATTTAGTCAGATCCATCTGTCGCGTCCTTGATCTCGATTGATGATAAGTATCCTCGTTCTCCATGATTATCCTCTCCATTTTTTCAATTCTATCAAGTTTCTCGTTTTCTTCTTTCGAGTTTAGCAGATCTCTTTCGGATACATCTTCCATGTCCCTGGATTCTCCTTCGGGTTCCAGCCGGATGTTAACTTGAGCATATAAAACGTCGTCTTCCGTGGAATAAGGATCCCTCGCTTTTGGAATTGCACTTGAATTCGGTATCGGGTCTGCATACGTCATATCCTTTTCTGGATTCTCGTTCTCTTTATTCTGATACTCTTCTAATCTCATCGAGTAATTCAAATTCGATTGCTGAGTACTTTTCATAGTATTCGCTATACAAATTTTCGTCTTCCCATCCACTTTCCCCTGAGATTTAGATTTAATATTGTGCGACTTGGATTTTAATTTCAACGGTGATTTCGTTTTTTTCTCTTCTTCCACTTTTGTAGGTGTCTCAAATTCTGTACGGAATTAATTGTATTAATAAATATCCGCTGCTAATTCTATTGTTTATAGAATTTAACTACTTAATTTATTTAATAATTTTTAATTGAAATGTGTTTCCATTAAAAAGTGAATACGCGATACTGAATAGCTACCTTTTGACAATTCTTGTAAAGAGGAAGTGAATTCGGAACGAAGCCTCAAGAAAAACTGGTGATGTAAAGATGTCAGCTTGAATGCGAAGTAACTCCTGAAAAACGAGATAGAAGTAATAATTAAAAGCAGCGAAACTTCTTTCATATCTGAATCTCGCATAAAAGCTGCATTTAAATTTAATTCAGTACACGTGCTCCTACTTCTATTCACGTCAATTGAAAGAAATACTCACTTCTTGTGATCCATTCGCAATTTGAATTTGCATCGCTTCCCACTGTTTAATTTCGTATAAACTATTAAACAATATTTATTGTAACTCAGCGTTTCGATGTCCTTCCAGTAAAATTGGGCTAATTCAATTCTTTCCCTCGGTTCTCCACCCCTTTCAAATATCTTCAATCCTTGAATATTAATCGCCAGCCATATATTGTTCTCCTTTTTCTTTTCACTCTTCCCGTGTTTACTATCAATATTTTTACTATTATTACTAGAAGAGTCGTGAGCTTTCCTCTTACATTTAGTTTCCTCGTAAATATTCTTTGAAGAAGAATAATCTTTACTAATTTTAATTAATTTCCCATCCTCGCTGTTATACAAAATTTTCCTGCCGCTCAAATTCTCGCAGTCCGACTTAGAAATCTCGTCTTTCCGCGAATCTCTGCTCTTATCATTTTTACACGCTTGCGACTGTCTATCCTTATTATTAATCTCATACGACTGTCTACTATTACCCTCGCTATAAATCGTGTCGTTATCTTCTTTTTGAATTTCATACAATCGTTCACTATTATCTTTAGAGCAATAAATCGGTTCTTGATCGGTGCCAATTTTCCTCGGCTCGTCGCAATGAAACTTTTTCTCGTTCGATTTCTTCCCTTTCTGCTTTCCCATTATTTTATTAAAATCCTTCACGTCTATAGTCGCTATGTAATAGTGGAAACCGTAGTCCTTCAACGATTGAGCGTGATTAATAAACATCTCTTCGGCCTTGTTCGAGTCTAAACCGTTCCTATTGCGATGAGCCTGATGAAGAAGAGACTTGAGTGCCTTCACACATTTCAGTTCCTCAGATCCCTCGCTTTTACTCAAACTGTCCAGATTAATAATAAAAGACTCGGGGACGTAGTGTTCCAATAAAAAATAATCACCACATCCGTGTTCCTG